CCAGGCTCCTGTAGCTCTACATACTTTAGATTCATTACGGTACTCGTGTCGCGGCGGCAGCTGCTGCCAAGGTGCTGCGTTGTGCTTTCCCCCTGCCCAACCAGCTGCTGCTTGAGGCGCTACGCATTAGGATTAGGATTGTTACAAGATCCCGCGGTCGCCCGCTCCTGGAGCCATCCAGGCTCACGAGATATGACTTGGTAGCATCAGCATTGTGTGACAGAAATTCAAGGGGCCACTGTTCGCCGTTCAAAGCAGTCGTGCACAAAGGCCCCGAGTGTACGCTCGTCGGCACTGCGCACAAGCGCGCGCATGCGGGCATGTGCAGGCAGGTCCGCAAACAAGGATGCAAAGCGCGGCGCGGCCCGCAGGTCCGCGTAGGCAGGGCAGTCGAGCAGAGCATGTTCAGCCGTTTCAGCTGTGAACGTACACAAGCTCGGGCCCCCTCCCACCCTACATAAGTTGGGAGTTGGACTCAGGCTGTCAGCATCGACGTTTGAAGGTTGATAGAGCGCGCGTGGCAGATGGCTTTGTGCTGGTGAACGGTCTGCCTGCCGCTGCCATGGTCTTCCCGCTGCATTGCATTGTTTTTTTTTTTTAGACAGTCGGTTACACGGGGGTAGCGAGGTGCCGAGCACCTGTATTGCGTCGCCAGGTTGCACGCAAGCTGCTGACCTTTGCCTACTTAGCAACCGACTATCCAGCAAGAAACCCTGCAGCTGCAGCCGTGCCTAGAATTTGTTTTTGCCTGCCCCTCACGCACATGAGGCGTCCACGAAAGACAAACCCTCTGTGCCCGACTGCTGGCCCTGTAGCTGGAACACACGCACTTATGCGTTTTACAGTATCGCAGAACTAGGCGTGTGCGCTGTTCACCCCTCTCACCAACTGCCGCATTGAAGTTTGTTTCTGTTGCAGCAACATGGATGGATTAGGGTTGTTACAAGATCCCGCGGTCGCCCGCTTCTGAAGCCCGCCCAAACTGGGCAGCAGTGACACCACACCATTTCCATCAACTCGCCCTTAGCTTTTCTCAGTCCATGGGCATGTTACATGTCATAGTGGCTTGCACAAGCTTGTATGAAGACTCATGGACATAACCTGAGGCCATGGCAAAGCCCAGCAGGGGGATTCTACTCGACGAGCAGCGGGTCAAGACCAAGGAAGCCAACAGGCCGGCTGCCTGCAGGCCGCCAGGCGTGATGACGCACCTGGGTTGACGGAGCTTAGTAGCCCCGTACTCGCAAGCTGAGTCACAAAACACCAGGCACCAGGGCAAACACTTGGGGGAGGGGCCTGCAGCACTGACAGGCTGGCTGGTGGACGCCAGCAGCTGCATCCAGCTGCATCCCCCGCAGGAGGGCGCAGCCATGTTCAGCATGCCTGACGCCTGCCAATGCGGCGTGGCGGCAAGCCACCTCGCCGGCCAGCCGCCTCCGATGAAGACCTGCGGCAGCCGCGGCTTGGGCCGAGGTAGCCAACAACCGTGTTGAATATGGGACTCTGCATAGAAGGGCAGTTTCAGCCCACCCCAGCTAGCGCACATGTTGTGCTGTTGGGTGCACGAGGCAGCAGAGACATCCCCTGTCACACTGAGGCATGGCATGAGGGCATGGATTGCACCACAGCCACACGCCCCACCTGCAGATGTGACGCCTTCACAGGATCTGTGAGGGGCACAGGGTGACGGCGCGGCAGCAGCTGCCACGCTTCTCCGTGATACACGGGCAGCGCGAGCTGCTGTAGCAGCTACACGGCTGCAACCGCCAATGCCAGCACGTGTGCCGCCTTGGGCGCGCACGCATGGCGGTGTGTAAGCGGCGCGCCGCGGCGCCAGCGAGCGCCGAGCGCCCACCTGCAGCCTGGAGGGACAGGGCGCCGCCACGAATGCTGCGACCGTGCATCGGCATTTGACCGACACTGGCTTTTCTCCTCCCACAAACACTCCCGGGCACAAAACAACGGTCTAGAAGAAGAGCAGGCATATGAGAGAAACACTCGCGACGCAGAGCAGTAATCAACAGCCGCCAGCGAGCACTCAAATGCAGCGCCCGCGATGCTGTGCGCTTGGGCGCGTGCTCGAGCTCAAGCGCACAGCAGCCGCTAGCACAGCAGCCGCCAGCCCGGGCGTGGCGTGGGACGCTGCAATTAGCGCCTGTAGTCGCGCTCGCGGCTGCGGTCGCGACGCGGCGAACGGTCCCTGCGCGGCGAGCGGTCACGCGCGTACAGAGGATCCTGGTCGCGGCCCGCGCCGCCACCACGGCCGTAGTCGCTGCCGCCAGCAACACCATACATGCTGCCGGATCCGGTGCCCAGCGGCGCATTGTTGGCGCCTGTCAGACCCCCGCCGCCGTAACCGCCGCCGCCACCCCCGCCGTACCCGCCGCCGCCGCTGCCACCGTATCCACCCCCGTAACCACCGCCGCCACCATAGCCCCCGCGGCCGCCGCCGCCGCCGCCGCCGCCGCCGGCCCAGCGGTTGCGGCCGCCGCCGCCGCCGCCAAAGCGCCCCATCTCCTCCAGCTGTGGCGGTACCACCTGCTCCGCATCGCGCAAAAGCTGCACCAGGTCGCGCGCGCACTTGGAGTCCTGCCCGGTAAAGAAGCTGTATGCCTCGCCCGTCGCGCCGGCGCGGCCCGTGCGACCTATTTTCCGGGTTATGAGTTGGGGTTGGATTATTGTGAGAGAGTGAGTGGGGTCCACTGGCGCCGCGCGCGCGTTGGAAGAAAGCGTGAGGCAAAACGTGAAGGGCCGACCGGAGACTGCAGCGAGCGCACGCGCTGGCTCGAAATGCGCCCTACTCGTGCACACCCACATCCACAACCAAAACCCCTTTGCACGCCCGTTTCCCGTGCGCACCGATGCGGTGCACGTAATCCTCGATGCCGGGCGGCATGTCATAGTTGATGACCGCCGCCACATCCTTCACGTCCAGCCCGCGCGCCGCCACGTCTGTCGCCACTAGCACAGGCTGCCTGCCGTCCTTGAACGCGGCCAGCGCGTAGTCGCGCTCCTGCTGGCGCTTGTCGCCGTGGATGGCGGCCGCGTTGTACTCGCGGCCGATCGACCACGCCAGCTGGTCGCACATGCGCTTGGTGGAGCAGAAGATGATGACGCGCTGGCCCATCTTGGAGCGCAGGATCTGCTGGAGGTGGCCCATCTTTTCGTGGCTGCTGCAGAGGATCACGTTCTGGGTGATGGACTTGTTGGCCACGAGCTGGGGGAGTATAGAAGAGCAAAAGGAAGGTGGCCGTGTTGAGACGCAAGAGAGTCGCAGGAAAAACCAGTGTGTGTGGATGAGGATTGGGAGGAGACACACAGATCTGGCGAGGTGCATGCAGCTGCACTGGGCTGATGATACTGGCATGCCGCTTGCAAAAGCAGCGCACTGACCAGCCAACAACAAGCAGCTTGTGGGAGTGTGCCTGCTGCACCCCGGCTGGCTGCGCACCTTCTCCTCGACGGCGCCCACAAAAACGTGCACAGTTGCGCGCGTCACAAACTGCGACGCAATCTGCTTGACCTCGCGGGGCCACGTGGCGCTGAAGAACAGCGTCTGGCGCTCGCGAGGCAGGCGCGCCACGATGCGCTGGATCTGGGGGGAGGAACGGGAGGGGAGGGTGCGTGCGTGCGTGCGTGTGTGTGTGTGTGTGTGTATGTGTGTGTGTGTGTTTGAAACAGGCCAGAATCCAATGTTGCAGCAGCAGAGAGTTGCACGACATCACGCCCACATGCGGCCTGGCCTCAAGAGTGCACGACGCCGTCAAATCACACATGCCTGGCGCTAGCCATCAACAGCCCTCCCGCCCTCAGCACCGCCCGCACAACTCAAAACAAGACCGCCCTGCGCCATGCGATGCCCCGGCAGGCCCACCTGCGGCTCGAAGCCCATGTCCAGCATGCGGTCCGCCTCGTCCAGCACCAAGTACGACACCTGGCCCAGCTGGACCTGGTTGCCCTCCAAAAAGTCGTTCAGCCGCCCGGGCGTCGCGATCACAATCTCCGACCCGCGGCGCAGCGAGCCCAGCTGCGGCCCCTTGGGCGCGCCGCCGTAGACGCAGGTGTTGCGGATGCCGGCCACCGTGCCAAACTTGTCGGCCTCCTCCTTGATCTGCATCGCCAGCTCGCGCGTCGGCGCCAGCACCAGCACGACGGGCCCGTAGCGCGAGTCCCGGCGCACCGCGCGGATGTGCATCATGCCGGGCAGCAGGAAGCCGCAGGTCTTGCCGCTGCCGGTCTTGGCAATCGCCACCAAGTCGCGGCCGGTGAGGGCGACGGGCCAGGCCTGCGCCTGGATCGGCGTTGGCGCCTTGAAGCCGGCGCGCTTGATCTGCGGAGATTTTCACAGGAGGCACAGTTGATGATAAGTTTCACAAACAGATTTTTTGGTAAAGCTCTGCTAGTGGTGAGAAGACCTCGACACTGGTTGCTCAGACCAGACCACTGGCCCTGAAGCCAGCCGCGCGGCTGTTCCACGCTGCTCTTGCAGTGCGCACCTCGCTCAAAATATCTGATGGGAAACCGGCCGACTCAAACGTCTGTATGGGGTCGGGCACTTGGTCACCAGGGCCCTGGCCGTGGACCGTCAGGTCATGTTTCCTGTGAGCATGCGGCGGCGACAGCAGGTGTTCAGCAAAGGTGATTGGAGGCCACCAAACTGCTCCGCACTGGGGCGGCTTGCCACCTGAACACCTTGCCGCAAGGCAGCACAACACCTTGCCGCAAGGCAGGGATATGGCTGCATGTCGGCTGCAACCATTGCAGCCGGCCACACCATTCAGGCCAAGGGCAGGTTCTGGGCCATGTCGCTCTGGTGCGCGCACCTGAGGTACTCCTCCGCTGGCAGCACCGTCACGTCCCCGGACTGAGCAAAGGAGCCAGTGCTGTGCACTTGATGGAAGGCAGTGTTGGACGGCTGCGATGAGGAAGACACCGGGTGCGGACGCGCCGTTAGGCAGGATCAGGCGGTGAGGCTGCGAATGCAGCGCCGCAGCGCGCAGGCACGGAATGGTGGGGGCCGCCTTGCGACGCGGCTGTTGTGGAGCCAGCCCCTGTTTTCGAAGGACGCTACATGGCTTCATACATCATGTGCGTCCACTCCCAGGCTTTCTACCCGTGCTTCGGGAAGCCCGCCAAAGGCTGCGCACCTGCGTCGAGCGGCTGTGAGCGGGTCTCTCGTACGTAGTCACGTTGTTCGCTTTGTCCCAGTAGTATGTGCGACCTGGTCAGGGATTCGAGTCGTGATTAGCAGCGTGGCAATGCCATGCGCTGCGCCAGAAGCGGCCGCCGCCTCTGCAGCTCGCGTGGCATTAAAATACCTGATGCGGCATCAAAAAGCTTCATCCACCCTGGCGGAAGCTCCGGGTCATCCATGGCCCGCACTGCACTCGACATGATGGCGCCGGCTGCAGTGAGCACGCCGCTGGATGGTTGGTCGAACAATCGTTGGTAGATGTTGAGGATCAAATCACGTGTACAAAACACTGGTGGAGCTTGCGGCAAGATTCGAGACTTTGAGCCTGCTTTGAGCAATCGAGCTCGGCAGCTTCTCAGCCCCGAATTTGGCCGCTGTGAATCGCGCTCTCAGCTCGTACAGTGAATGTGTGTTCTCCCTTATGTTAGTCAGCGAAGATACAGCCTACGCAGCTATCAAGGCCTCAGCAGAAGCCAAGGCATAGATCTGTGCAGGTCTACATCATACCGTAGCTGTCATCAGCAAGCAGGTCAATAATGGACGCTGAAGCTGGTAAGCGGTACATGATGTAACCACTGCGCCAGGATAGCACATCATCGATGCCGTGATGCACGTTTCCTCGCGGGGTGCACATTGATGCACTGCTTCCTTCGCTGACAGCCGCCGCGGTGGGCGGCGCTCGTGCCGCATCTTTGGAAGTGTGCGCCCTGCAACAAAGCGGTTTCATTTCCTGCAGGTGTGGAAGATGCCCCACACCATCAGCAGCGGCACCAGCGACACCAGCGGCGGGTGCCGCTCGCAAGCACCACCCTGGCGATGGGGCGGGCCGGGCCGGGCATTGCTCGAGGGGTCCAGCCAACTGCCAGCCGACCAGGTACACATTGAGGAGGCAAGCGTATGCACGCGCGCAGGGGCACCACAGGTTGCATGCCCCGCAGGCTTCTGGGGTGTTGAGAGTGCGTGGAGAACGGCAAAATTGCCACAGCATGACGCACAGCTCCATCACGCACGGCCCGCCCAAATTTCAAATGCAGTGGTGGTCTCCACCAGACCGCCATACTTGGACGCAGCATGCGTTGCGGCCGTCCAGCAGCAGCAAGATGAGCAGAAGCAGCAGCCGCTGCTGCGGCAAGCCGACCAGCAGCGGGAGTTCAGCGCAGGCGCAACCAGCACCAGCAGCCGCCACGGGTGGGGAACCATCTCTGGCGCAGGTCTGCTGCTCTTTCGACTTGTGCGCCTGGGTGCAGCCCGGTTAGTGGGAGGCAGCGACGGTCGCGGCGCGGCGGTTGGCGATCGCAGCGGCGTGTCGGATGTGCGCGTCTTCCCCCGCCTGGTAGGTAATGAAGCAAGCCTTAAGCTGCTGGTCCGGCGGGGGTGGTCGGGAGGACTGCTGTCATGCGAGAGTGGTGCAAATGCCGTATTGCCTCCCCTGACAGCAGCGGTGTGCATCTTCATGTTGTTTCCGCCACGCATTCACCCGCCTCTCGGTCGGCCTTCGAACCCCTACCCTGCTCCTCGGCTCGGCCAGCCGCCCCGCGCCGCCAGCCCCACGGCAGACGGCGGGGCTGCCGGCAGGGGCGCCTCTGCGCCGGCGTGCGGCCCCGCGCTGGTGTGGTTCCGCAACGACCTGCGGCTGGAGGACCATGCAGCGCTGTCGGCCGCAAACGCGGCGGCGACGGCGGTGGTGCCTGTGTTTTGCTTCGACCCGCGAGAGCACGGGCAGGTGGGCAGCTGTGAAAGGCGTGGAGCCAGCAGGGCTATTCATGTTGGGGATGGGGTCGGGGTCTTGACGGGGGGGTGCCGGCTGGGCTATGGGAAGGAGCAGGCCGAGCAAAGCGCCCCGGGCAAGGGCTGCGCACAGGGTAGACCTTTCGGGGCAGCTGCTCGCGGTGTGGGGCGATGCGGGCATCGTGCTGTGGCGCGCATTGTCTTCATTGTTTTGTGCAGCGAGCGGTGCTGGTGACGGCGGCCGCCCGCGCCTGCCGCGGCTGCGCCACGCAGCGCGTCAGTCTCGACGCCACCGGCTGCCGCGCAAGCATCCTTCTTGCGCCACCTGCGCAGGGCACCGCCGGCTGTGAGCGGTCCGGCCCCGCGCGCGCGGCGTTTGTGTGCGGGGCGCTGCGCGACCTGCGTATGGCGCTGCGGGCCCGCGGGAGCGACCTGATCGTGCGCGTGGGACTGCCAGAGGAGGTACTGCCGCAGGTGGGGGGCCAAAGCTCGGCGGGGTTGGCGCCTCGAGGTGTGTACGGACAGGGGCGCTCCGGCATGCCACCTGGGTTGTTTTGGTGGGTTCTAAGAATCACTGTACCCGTACATGCAAGCGCGTGACTCCATTCCACCCATTTCCCGCCACTCTTGCGGCCCCGCAGCTGGCCGCATCGGTGGGCGCGGCCCATGTCTACTGCCACGGCGAGGCGACCGACGCCGAGCGGCGCGCAGAGGCAGCTGTGGCGGCAGCGCTGCAGCGTCGCGGTGCGGCGCTGGAGGTGCTGTGGGGCGGCACACTGCTGCACCCAGAGGACTTCCCCTTCAAGCTGGGCGCCCTGTTCAGGGCCGGCGCCACCCCGAGCTTTGCTGAGTTTAGGGAGCGCGTGGGCGGCGGTGGCAGAGACGGGCGCGGCGGCAGAAAGGCCGCGCGTTTGGTGGCGGTGCGGGCGCCCCTGGAAGCGCCGCAGTTTTTCAAGGGCTTCCCGGCGGGCTGGTGCGTGGCTTTTGGCCCATTCAGGGGCCTGCTGCTGCTACAGGGAGGGTGGGTTGGGAGATGGTGTTGAATCCTGCAGGTCGGATGTTCGGTTTGGGGTGCCCCACCATTGTGTGCAGTGATGCGGCGGCTCGCTTTACAAAAAAAGCACGATGTGCCCTTCGCTCACTCATCGTTCACCCTGCTTTGCAGTGGCATCACCCCTGGCGAGCTGCCTACCCTGCAGCAGTTGGGCTTTATTGGCGAAGGTCTCGTCGCAGCGGCGGGGGCAGCACCGGCCATGGGTGCTGGCCTCAGCAGCAGCGAACAGCGTGTGCTGGAGCGTATGCGGGTGGGTTGCTGCTGGTCGGGGCGCTGTCGTGCACTGGGGTTGGACAAAGTGTGGGCGCACACACGAATGTGCTGCAACCTTGGGATTTGCGCGAGCTGTCTTCGCCCGGGCAGGGGGGCGGCGGTGCTGTTGTTGGGGGGCCTCGAGGGCTGCGCCCTGGTCATATCTGTGCACCTGGCAGGATCGGCGACGCACCCACTACAGAGACGCCCTGGCAAGAGCCGTGTCCCCTTGCGCTGTCGGACTCTGCTGTTCCACACTGCACCACACTCCACGGCTATTCCTCCCGGTTCCGCAGGGGTTTGACACCGGGCACGGCCGCGGCCCGGCCGCACACGAGCCGCTGACGCAGGCCTTTGTGACCAAGGCCTGGCCCTGGCTGGCGGTCGGCTGCGTCTCGCCACGAACCCTGTACCATGCGTTTGCCAACCACGAGCGCAGCCAGCACAATGGCGCCAGACCCGGGCCCGAGCGGCGCCGGAAGCATGCGCAGGAGGGCGATTGCGGTGAGACCCGCATGTTTGCTGACGGGGCCGGCTGGGCGCTGGCATGGGGACCAGGGAAACGGGCAGCGCTGAAAGTTCAGCTGGCACTGCCCACCAACCTGCCCTGCGTGCGGCATGATCCTTGCTGCTTGCGGATGCCGCCTTGAGCTGACGAAGCATGCCGCTGTCGTCCATATTCGCTTTCTCCACAGGCGCGTCATGGCTGATGTTTGAGTTGTTGTGGCGGGACTTTTTCAGGTTTGCCCTGGCAGCAGCATGAGTCTGTCGGATCCAAGTGCCGTTTCCTGGCCACATGGCGACAACTGCTTGATACCCCTTCATCAACAGGTCGGCTTGGCGTTGCGCACGCACCATGGGCCAGCGATGCAACAATTCCTGTACAAGAATACATACACTGCGTTGATTACATGTTGCTGCTTGACGGCCCTGCCACCCACAGCTGTGTTGTTGCTTTGGCGCTTGCCCAGCCTGCTCTGCGACGCCCTGCATCACGAAATCAGGAGTCTGTAACACAGCGTCCCTCACGGGAACATTACCACGCCTGGTGCAATAACAGTCAGCTAGCCCAGCAAAAGCCGCCTGGATGTGCAGAGTCAAACGAAGGCTGCGAGGTCAATAATAATAAGTCATTGAGGCGAAGCACCGCAGCAAGAACTGTCAGTGCGGCCACATGGTTGCTGATGGCTACCCAACACGAGCGACTGAATGCACCGTTGCATGGCGCCAAGCTCGTCCGGAACTGCGACCAAGAAAAGAGAGAGGCCCCCCGCAAACAGGGGGTGCTGCCGCCCTTGCTGCTGCTGGAACCACGGTTTTAAAACGGGGCACTCGCGCCGCAGCATGCCGCTGGGGGCGCTCATAAGGCCGCCCTGCAGCCGTCCCAGAGGCAACGCTGCCGCAGCGGCCGCTGCTAAAGCTGATGGGAAGCGCCGCTCACGCCGCCTCACTTGAGCAGTGACCGCGCGATCTGCTCCCTTGCGCTGGCAAATGCCTGGGAGAATGTCTGCAGGTGAGGGCGGAGGTGGTGCAGGGTAGGCAGCGCTTCGAGGAGGATGGTGCATTGCACCGTGTAGACACTTGCGAGGCACGGCCGGCCGCTGTTTCAGTGCTGAGGACGCCACAAGCAAGTGATTTGCACCTGCACGCGCGGCTCCCCTCGCCCAAGGCCTTGTATACTTGGCAGCAAGGACAGGAGGGGTTGAATGGTCCCCTGACATGGCCCGTTTCTCGCAACGGCCAGGCTGGTGAGCACGCACCTGCTCCACAGCCGGCGTGTCCCCGTCAGCGCCGCGCATGCTGACGCGCGACGCCACCACCTGCGGCTCTGTTTCCAGTATCAACCTGCGGCAGTGGCGCCGCAGTGAGCAACACCCCGCTGATAAGCAGCAGCTATGGGCCCATGACGGCGGCCGCACGGGATCGAGCGCGGCCAGCCTTTGGCCGCAGCTGCCCGTACGTCGCTACTATGTGCAGCCTGCCATGCCATGCCTCTGCCGCCAGGCACGGCCTGCAAGGCTACACCTCCACCTGCCCTGCCCTCCCCGCCAGCGTTCGTCTAGTCAGCGCCGGACCCCAGACTTCTAAAAAAACTGCCCGCCGCGCACCCCCTGTCCACGATCTCATCCACTGCCAGCAGCACCAGGTCCAGGTTCTCCAGCACAGTCTTCTTGTCGACCTGCTGCCTGCAAAGCGGGACGGGCGCATGACAGCAGTCCGCGACCAGCCAAAGTGCAGCGGCCGCGGGCAGTGGTGACGAGGGGGCCTGAGGAGCGGCAGCCCAAAAATTGCTGTCAGAGCCCCCGAATCTGCGGCTGCTGCTGACAACTGACACCACGCCTGCTGGTCCTGCAGAATCGCCAGCCACCGCTGGACGCACCGCCTGGCTGCCTGTGTGTCGGCGTTGGGCGCGGCGCGCCTGTGCGTATGCTCACCGCAGCAGGATCGAGACCGACTCGTAAAAAGCCTGCAGGACGCTGTACAGGATGAGCTCGTTCTCGTCCTGCCCCCCGGTCACGTAGAACATCAGGTCATTCAGGCACTTGTACACCACCAGCACATCGTCAAACATCACGATCTCCGCTGCACAGCGGCGAGGAGGGTGCGGTTAACGTGAGCGGGCGGGCAGGGGCGGGGAGGGGAGCCGTTGGCGGCCAAGCGCTTGTGGTGCTGCGGCCCTTGTTTACAAGGCGGTTGGCAGCGGGCCCGCAGCAATTCTGCTTTGATACGACCCAGGCGGTGCCGCAGATCGGCTTGCACGATATTGAAAATGATCGCTGCTGGCGCCCTGCAACAACAGGTGCACCGGGCCGGGGCCGCACGACGCCACCAGCGCGCGCTCGCGCACCCTCTCCCCGCGCATTTGTTCGGCTCGTCTTGTTCCAAACGGACTTCTCATAGTTGGCTTGGTTGTTTACGGTCGTCCTACGGAGTGGTTGGGCCCCTGTTGAGCGCCCAGCGAGTTCAACACCCAAAATTGCTTTGCCTTTCTTGGCCCCACCATTCGGGCGAGAAGTACTTGACTGCTATCCGCTTGCCCTCCGCGTCCAGCAGCAAAAGGTTTTTGACTTTCGGGCATGTGGGGTCCACCGCCATGGCTGCTGCGAATGCTGGATCAAGATCACGAATGCCTGCAGCCTGGCCTATATTCGATCAACGAATGGCTTGCACAGTTTGTAACGGATAAAGCGCCGCAGTACTTGAGCTTCGCAGACTCCGGAGACGCGACAACAGTGTAGACCGATGGATGCAGCTTCTGACATACGGTAAGTGGGCCACGACACGGTGGCACATGCGACGCACCCAGCTGTAAGAAAGTCGAACTGACGATATCAAAGCGCTCTTTCCTTGCGTTACTAAAGCCGCACGCAGATCGTCTGATCGCGCATAGGACGCGCGGCTCTCCAGGCAGGGAAAGGTCGCAAAAGGCACAAGAAGTATGTTCGGCGACGACAGTGAAAGGTGAGGGCCTGAAAGTGGGTGGCCCTGGAGCCGAGGGGAGCGCGTGGAGCAGCGACGGCAGCGGCGGGGACTGAAGGCTCATGGGGCTGCCGCACTCACAACTGCTGTCTCTCGCAGAGAGCAGTACTTTGAGGCCGCGGTTGCACAGGCGCAGCGGGACCACAAGGCAGACAACACAAATGTGCAGGTACGCGCCGCCTGGAGCTCGTTTTGAGGTGCCGGGTTGTGCAGGCACCTCAGCTCCGGCCGGCTGCCAGGGCAGCCCGCCCCGGCTGCTGCGGACGCTTGGCTGCATCATTCGTTGCGGTTCAAGTCATAAGAGCACGCAGCCACTCGCTGCGCGCGACGCCACACCACGCCATGTGGGTCAGCAGCCATGTGCGGCGGAGCTTGCACCTGAGGAGCACGTGCTACCCTCTCCGGCACATACATGCACACACTTGCACGCGCGCGCACACACACACACACACACACA